CATGTGTCATTTACAGTTATTTTCTATATATAATAAGGTTTTTGTGAATAATCCTATTTATGCATATGTGTTTACACACACACACACATACACACACACACACACAAGGGTACTCATATGGGATGCTAGCTTCACATATGGTGATTTCACCCACTGTGCCCCAGTGCCAGCTCTTTACATTCATTTTTTCTTATTGCTATCATCCTACACATTCACCATTTCTTCCTTGTCTGTCACCACATGCTCCTAGGTTTCTCCAGATTTGCTTCCTATTTATTCTCAGTGTCCATTTTCTGCATACCTTTCTTTATCAAATTGTTAAATGTTGAAATTAAAGCTGATGACCATCTTCTCTTTTCTGGCATCCTGTGATGGTGTTCTTAATCATCATGACTTTAAGTACTATCTTGACATACAGCCCCGCCCCCGCCCCCTGGATTTGTATCACTAACCTCGGATTTAAGATCCATGTTCATAGGCCCAGCTATCTGCTTTGTGATCTGACTTGTATGTTTCACAATCAAACCCACCAGGTCAACACTGACCTTTGCTTTCTACATTTGCCTCCTCCAATCAGAACATATTTGTAAATAATACCATGCTCCACCAGTCCGGAATCCAACCATGGACCAGCCCCCCTGTGGCACCTCCCTTTTGTGTGTAATCCATCACCATGTCCTACAGATTCTACCCAAAATGAGATCTTGACACAAGAAATACAGTACATTTCTTTTTTAAACATCTAGGATTCAGGCATTAAAAATCAATACATGCAAAAAATGTGTGTTTGTACCTGCATCAAAATTCTGAAAACATTGTTTAGAAACTAATAAAAAGTGTCATTTGCAGATGGGTACAGATGTGAGAAATTGCACAGTTTATGTATACACATGTCTGTATGTATGTGTGTATATATAAATATATATAAATAAATAACTATATAAATAACTAGACAGATGTGAGTCTGAATACTAATTCAGTCACTTATTACCACCTGTGTGACCTTGTGCAAGTTATGTAAACTCTCTGTTAACTCTCCCTCGGCTGCTTAATCTATAAAGCAGGGATAAAAACAGGACCTTTCCTTACAGGGATTTGATGAGGAACACACAGGATAAGGCAAGGGAAAGTGAAGGCTTAGAAAGTACTTGGCAGATAATAAGTGCTCAGTAAACCTGAGCTGTGATGGCAGTGCTGCTGCTGCTGACAGTAAGTATGCATACAGAAAATAAATGGAAATAGGACTATCTTGCAAAGTTAGGATTTCCAAAGTCCTAGAAAATGAAAAAGATAGAAAAAAAATCTAAAGGAAAATAAGATCTGTAGGAACAGGAAATCAGGGAAAGAAAGGATGCATAGGATAGGAATTCTTAGACCACATGTTCAAGTTCAAAGACTATGGAGAAAGGATGTAGTATTATTGGAATTATCTACAGGGATCATGCCAGAGAAACCTTTAAAGACTGATGAAATGGAAGGAGACATAGCTGACATGCATGGATAGTTGTCCTTCACGTAGCCACTCCCTTGCCACTCCTATTGGGCCCTGGAGCCCAGAGGAGTGAGATGAACTGACAATCACTGTGTTGCAGATTTTATACTTGCGTGAGATAACATGTATCAAAGAGTGAGGCTCAGTTATTCTCTGGAAGCACAGAAGGAGGTGAAGGAAGTAAAGCATAGCATAGATAAATGGAAGGAAAGCATAGCATAGACCTTGGAAATAACTAGAAAAATTGATAACTGAGTCCCTCAAGCAAACAGGCCATATATTTAGCTCATTATTATTTTATTAATATGTAGTTTGCGAATGTCAAACATTTCCTTAACAGGTCAGATCATGTGTACAGGCATGGACTGGGGAAGTAGGGATAATGAGAAGGATGAAGCGAAACAAAAGAGAGCAATTGGGCCCAGCATGGTGGGCTAGTAGCCAAAGTACTCTCTTTGCACATTCTAAGATCCAATATGAGCACTGGTTCACATTCTAGCAGCCCTGTTTCCCAGTTCCCTGCATGTGGCCTGGGAAAGCAGTCTAGGACGGCCCAAAGCCTTGGGACCCTGTACCCGCATGGGAGACCTGGAAGAGCTCCAGGCTCTTGGTTATGGATCGGTTCAGCTCCAGCTCTTTTGACCACTTAGAGGGTGAATCAGCAGATGGAATAATTTGCTTCCTTTCTGTCTCTCCTCCTCTCTGTGTATTTGACTTTCCAATAAAAATTTTAAAATCTTTTTAAAAAAAGAATAATTAGTATCTATATGCAAATGCTTATATAAGTGTACACACTAATTGTGAGGATGTTTGTACATGATCATTTTTAAGATAAAACTTTATTTTGGGGAGCATGCATTGTTTTCTAATGAACCAAACCAAGACTCTTACTTTAATCTGAAGTACAGATTAGAAGCCTTGACTCCAGGGCCCATGTAAAGAGAACATGCAAAGATGCTGCATGACCTAATGTTTTTTATTTTAACTCTTTGTATTCTCCTGAATATCTTCAAGCCACAATTCATCAATGATGTTTTTGTATAAAAAGCTCTTTTAGTAAATAATATATATTTGAAATACCTTTGATATGATATCCTATATTATTGCTAAAAAAAAAAAAACAACCTTGAAGAACAGTAAATTGAAGACTTCATTTGACAGGCAGATCCACTGGGAAGTGACTAATATACCATGGTGAGCTGCTAGGGAGAACCACTACTGAAACTGCCTCCTGACAAACCATGCCTTCTCTTTCACTATAATGTACAGTCTGTCTGTCTTTTTGGAAACCTCATTTGACGTCTCTCATTGCCCACTCATCCTTTGCCCTGAGACCTTTTAGCACATATATGGAATGCAGTATACATCCACCAATGTATTTTTCTTTCTTTTGAATATGAGGGAAATGCAAAAACAACACAGATCACATATGGGATATAAATAAATATTTTCTAGAAAGTAAATTGTCTTCTTAACTTTTTTTCTGAAAAGTTTTAAATTTGTGTATATTTTCCTTTCATGGCACGAAAGACTGGACTATCTGGGCAAGTTCTTCCAGTTGGGCCATGCCAGTGCTGATCCCCTTTGAGGATCCTCAAATGAGATTTTGAACATATCTTGATTTATGATAATCAGTTGAATATGCAGCATTGAGGAATTAACTTTCTCCAACTTAATTCAGATCATCTCCAGGAGCAGACTGAGGCTTGATTCCTTATCTACAGTGATGTGTAGAGTCCCACAAAATATGGACTGAATCCAAGAAACAAAGAGAGTATTGGGGGAAAATCCAAATTTTAGGCTCTGGATTTGTGTGATTGCTACGTGGCTCAATCAGAGGCTTGTGAGAAGGAGTGAGACAGTGACCACTAAAGCACTCTGAGAACAGTGGCCAGAGAGTTCTGCACAAAATTAAGCACACAAAACACAGGTGAACATGCATTGAAAACTTGCTGTCTGCTTGAAGGGATTCAGTCTGCCCAGCAATCATATTTAAAAAGGTTTATTAGCATCCTCATTTTGTACTGAATAAACTGAGACGCAGCTATGTAAATAATTTTTTAAGATCACACATCCCGAGGACACATAGAACCAAAGCCTAGGTGAGTTGACTCTCAACTCAGCGTTTTTTTCTATTTAATTTTGTAGATTTTGTGCTGGGAAAATCAAACAGGGTGGCCCCCATGGAAACTTGCTTGGGCTGTGGTATTGTTGCTTTAAATAATTCTCTCACCTGGGGGTACAGAATGTGGAAATGAAAAGTTGTCCCTGACTCCACAGGACTTCAAATCATGCGTCAGTTTCAAAATGAGTCAATGAGGGGAAGTCTGTCATCTCAGGTGGGTTTGTGAAAATGAACAAGCATGGAGCACAGACCAATCTTGGCTTAGAAATAAACAGATGTACTCCAAATAATCCTGATCTGTATCATATATATTTTTTGATGCTGACTTTCTGAAACACTGTCTTTGAATAAGATGTGACACAAACATAAAATGACCAACAGCAAACACCTCTGTAAAACAATCTGACATTTCTAATAAAAACCCAGTGGTTTGGGGTTTATTATTTGACCTTTTATATGAAACCGGGAAATTTTTGCTATCCCTGGAAATAAACTTCACCTTTCAACACTAATTTAGAGATCCTTTATGTGCCAATAAGTGAATCTATGCCATGTATGCTTTTCTAGGCTGTTTATTCTCTATTGTGTGTATGTGTGTGTGTGTCTATGTGTACCTTTGTGCATGTGTGTGGCAGATATAAGGAAGGAACATTTAGTCCTTGTCCTCACATATCTTAGCATCAAGTGCAAGTGGAATGGCTTATATCCAGAAAGCACTAGTTTTTCTTCAAAGTATGCAGTAGTAATATTAGCACCTACAGAAATCTTTGCAGCTTTTGAAAGATGCACATGCTATTTAAATAGCTGTGATATTTTTATTACACACATGTGCTTGCTCTTTTCTGAAACCATCGTAACTAAGAAACTTCAGTTTAAAAAAAATAGTGTCTCCCACAATCTCATGTCACTGGAGATGGCTACCCCTGTTAATTGCTGTGCCCATTTCTTGCAGACTTGTTTTTCTGCAAACGTACATGCACATTTCATTCCCATTTCAAGAAAGAGTTTTGCATTTGCATTTGTTGCTGTGTTCAATTCTCTTAGATTATTTTCTAACTTACCCAAATATTGCACTCTTTTAAATGCATATAGATGAATATAATATTCTATGGAACATGTACCCTTTGATCTTTATAAAAAGAATCATCAAGTTATAACCCACCAGCCAAATCAATCCCACTTCCTATTTTTATAAATATTTACACAGTGTTTTTGTGGTTGCTTTCATGCCACAACTGCAAAGATGAATAGTTGCCACAAAGACCATCTGGACTGCAAAAAGAAACACATTTCCTATCTGGCTCCTTGAAAAAGCTTACTGACCTTACTACATAACAACCACCCAACTTAGGCAAAGAAGACAAAAAAGGGTGCCTTCTTTAGGTGTTTGTGATAGGCAAGGGCAGATATAGTTTATATGTGCTCATATACATGAATACCTTATGACCTGTATAATGTATGGTAGTTTCATTCATGAAATCCTATGTGTTAGCGAAAATAGCATTTTCAGTTGTCTCAATCTGATAATGAAGGGACTATGACACCAAGTGATTTGTCCAAATGAGGAATTCTGCAAATGAATATACACTACGAAAGTTATGTTTTCTGTAGTGTTTTCACTTACAGTAATGCATATCTCTCCATCCAGATTTCAAAAATTTGTGCACACTTCATATTCATATGCATACTCACATATTCTTTCACACTCATTCTTTTGTTTTCTTCCTCACACACACGAACACATGCACGCAATACCATGTCAATATCATGTGATACTACTTCACTAATCCACACAAAAGCGTCTCTACCTTCTATGTGCTATCAGAACAACTAAATGTCTTGTTCAAATGCAGATCTCTAACTCTGCAGAATTAGTAAGGGGACTGAGGATCTCCACTCCCAAGGGGCTACCAGGTGATGTCCAAGGTTATGTAAGGAGAGGCAAGGAAAAAAATAAGCAAGAACATTGGAGAGTAGGTTTGTGATATGTTATAATGGAGGCAAGTAAATCCAGGTATGAACATGGGGGAATGGAGGAGGGATAGAAAGTGCTCTCCTCTGTTGACTAGGGAGGATAATATGGCATTTACGTAGTACTCTCATGGAAACAACAGAGCAATTTATATACATACTTGGGAAAAGAACAGCCATGTCGAAACAAAGACAGTACAAAGACCCTGGGGCAGGGATCTGCCAAGCCTATTAGAAGAGTCAGTAGGACATGTGGAAGTCAGGGAGCAGAGCAGTGGATGGTGAATTTTGAGAAGTTAAGCCGGTGGAACTGGCTACAAAGGATTCCAGAGCGTCCTTTAAGAACTTCGGTTTCGCTTTCAAGAAGCAGGAGCAATGGGAAGCTGTTGAGAAGTTTAACAGAATCATTCTGCTTTCTCAAGAAAGAACAGCTAGTGATGATGAGTTGGAGTTAAATAAAAACCGAAAAGCTATTAATTGCTTTACAATATTTTATGACATAAGTACTTGATTAGGCACTCACGGTGTTAATGAATTGAACTCTATCTAGTGGTTACCACTAAGTAAGGATTCACTCTGTTTCGGATACTGAGATAACGACTCCACAAAACATGATCTCATCAATCAATCTCCCTATCAACAAGGTATTGACATTTTCAAAGGGAACTGAACTGGCCACACAGAGGGAATCAAAAGAATTGAAATTCAAGCTTGTGTCTCTACCACAATTAAAAGTGCATTAATCACTGTTACCTCTCTAAGTTATTTTAGTCTATATTTTAAAAGTATATTTATTTATCTATGTACGTATTTGAAACAGTAACAGAAGGAAAAGGAGATCTTTCATTTGCTGGTCTATGCTCCAAATGGCTGAAATAGCTGGGGCTGGTTCAGGCTGAACTCTCCCACAGGGGTGATAGCGAATCCAGCACTTAGGGCATCTTCCACTGCCTTCCCACACAGATTAGCCTAAAGCTGGATTGCAGGTAGAGTAGCCCGAACTCAAAGCAGTCCTCTAATAGAGGATGCCAGTATCACAAGTGTGATACTGCCTAACCTGCTATGTCTTAACCTGCTGGTCTCAGTGCTGGCCTTTCTTTAGTCTATCTATATTAATATTTGAAAACAATATCCTGCTACTCCAGAACTTTATGAGTAGCTACTAAGTCGGAATGCTTCAAAGCAGGAGTGTAAAGACCTAGGCTAGGAAATGGAATCCCCTTTCATCAGATATCTTCTCTGCTAAAGAAGAACATAAGTAAGTCCCAGATTTTCCAAGTTGTTTCAGATCAACTTGTCTGAGTGCTTCTTTGCCTCTAATTCACACCATTTATTAGGCACTTGTGTAAGAAGTCACTGGTTAGTACCCTTTCTGCAATGAATCTACACGAGAGCCCATCTCATGTGCTTGGCTGTTTAGGTTGCCTCACATTAAACAAAACAAAGTTTATGTCTTAAAGTTTCATGTTAGACAAATATCCACTTGGGGCTGATGTGTTGGCATAGTAGGTTAAGCCTCCACCTGTGGCGCAGGCATTCCTTATGGGATTCCATATGCCTTGGCTGTTACACTTCCAATCCAGCTCCTTGCTTATGACATGAGAAAGCAATGAAGGATGACTCTTACTCATGAAATTTGTTACATTAAAAAATGCTTTACAATGCACTCATTTAATTTTAGAAATTTAACTTAGTAAGCAAAGGAAAAGTTCCTTTAAGATCACATCAACTTGGAAATGCTAGGGCAATTTATTTATTTATTTATTTTAGTGGGTTTTTTTTAGTCAGATATGCAGAGACAAATATCTTTCATCCACTGGTTCACTCCCCAAGTGGCCACAATGGCCAGAGCTTTGTCGATCTAAAGCCAGGAGCTTCTTCCAGGTCTCCCACGTGGGTGCAGGGTCCCAAGGCTTTGGGTCATCGACTGCTTTCCCAGGCCACAACCAGGGAACTGGATGGGAAGTGGGACTGCCGGGACATGAACCAGTGCTCAAATGGGATCCTGGCACATGCTAGGCATGAACTTTAAGCACTAGGCTACTGCACCTGACCCACTAGGGTAATTTATACAAGGAATATATATTTTATTTCTAGTTAAAACAAACTGATAGATCCATGTAACTTCATGGTAGTATTGTTACTTTTGTGCCCCCCTCCACTTTCCTAAACATGCTTATACATTTGTGCAAAGCCATGCATGCTCACATATACCCACAAGAAAAACTGCAAGATGCCTTTGGAGACTTTCTATTGCTGTAGAGGCCACTTCCTGTTTTGTGCTTTCATCTGAAATCTCAGTATGTCATCTCAGCCCTGAGGCAGTTATTTCTGTTGGTCTTGCTGGAAGATAGCAACAGCCCATCTCTGCAGCTTTGCTTTGTTGACTAGGTAGCCGTGCTGCCTCACAACCATACCCCAATCTTCTCCTCATACCCACCAACATCCCAAAAAGGAAATAAAACTCTGCTGTGTACTTAATTTTTTTAAAGACTGAATGTTCTCAGTATTTCTTGCCAGTGAAAGAGCATCCTGCAGATTCACAAATATTTTCTAGAAATTTCTCAGAGATACATGCCAGTTGTTGTCCAAATTAAAGAGCATAAGGTGTTGCCTGTGGGCTAAAACTGCAAGCATTTTGTCTATAAAATGGTAAGCAAACCCTAAGACTTTGCCACTTATCTGCCTCTTGACCACAGGTCAGGTACTTCAGCTGTGTGTGAAGTACAGGGTTTTCATTGTGTCAGTGAGGGCAATGGCACTTCCTTCACTCCTCCTTGTGGTGGCCCTCATTTGCTCTGGGCCGCGTCCTCTGGTTTGCTGGCGTACCTGCTGCCCACTTGTCTTGTGGTGAGTGTTGTCTCCAGAAAGAAAGGGAAAGAAGGAAGTGGGAGGGGAGAACAGGGAGTTGCTCAGTCCCCTTCTCGCTCTTGAAATGCACAGATAGTCTGGGAACTTGCAGAGACACCAAGGGACCCGTCTCTCGGGGGAAGTATTCTATCCCAAGTGACCCAAGGGCAGAATCCCTCAAAGAAAAGGGAAGTGCTTACTCTAGAGCCCAGAATCTGAAGTAATATACCTCCTCCTGGCTATAGCTGTCTATGGATTCAGCGCAGGAATGCAGCTTTCCTCCTCCATGTTGCCTGTGGGAGAATTGATGTAACATATCTCTTCTGTTTACACAGACTTTCAAAACATATCTGTCCTGCTGATTCCATGGCATCTCCACTGGGATTGTGAAGTGACATTTCAAACTTAGCAGGTTCCACATTGAAATCCTAAGCTTCTATGTCCCTTCTTAAAAGGCAATTCTTCTGGTTGCTTAGGCTACAAATATTGGTATTGGCTTTTTCATTTCTCATACCCAACTAACAGACCAACCATTTTTCCTGGAAAGTGAGGCTGCATCTTCAAAAATAATTCCTGAGTCTGACCATTACCAGATCTTACACTTCTACTATCCTGGTGTGAGCTATTTTCAACACTCACATGCATCACTATAATGACTTTACAACTAGTTCTACTGCTTCTGTCCATCACCGTTTTATCCCTTCTTCTTCCCAGAGGGATCCTAGCAAGATGTGACCCAGAGTACAATCTTCTGCTCAAAATCCTCCCATGTGGTAGGTATGTGGCACAACTGTTCAACAACATATTGTGATGCTGCCATCCTGTGTCACAGTGCCTGAGATTAAGTCCTGCCTCTACCTCTAATTCAGCTTCTTATTACTATTCATCCTGTGAAAAATATGATGTTGGCTCAAGTACCTGGGCCCCTTCCATCTGCATGGGTGACCCGAATACAGTTCTGGACTCCTGGCTTTGGCCTGGTCCTGTCCTAACTGTTTCAGACATTTGATAGTGAACCAGAGGATGAAAGATTTCTCATCTATCTATCTCTCTGCCTTCCAAAACACTAAAATTAAGTAATTAATTAAAAACCAAAACCTCCCACGATTCTTCAACTAAGTCAGAATAGGCTTCCATCGTGGCCTTGGAGACCTTGCATTATCCAGTCTCCTGGTTCCACTCAGACCATCTACCCTGATCCTCTCTTGACTACTTCTATTATTCAAATATTTGGAACATGTCAGATTGCTTCTGCCACAGGGCCTTGGCTTTAGCTGCTCTTTCTGCTGAACCACTGATACTCCATTCAGACAGCATCAGGGCCCCCTCCAGCAACTCCTTCAGGTTTTTGCTCACGTCTTAGCTTCTCAGTGAGATCCAAGCTCATCACACTCTTTATAATACAACCCATCTCATTCAGCCCTTATTCTACTTTGTATTTCCCTTACGATTATAACCTTATAAATACAATCATTTGTAGAATGAATGTTTGTCTTCTCTCCCACCAAGTCCTATTCTCATGGGAGCAGAAGGGAAAGGGATTTTCATCTGTTTTCTGACTTCATACTTCAGTACTTAAACTGCGGTCTGATACAACGTAGTGGCTTACCATATTTTGCTGCATGGATATGCATTGAATGCAAAGGGATAGAGATGCATGCTAAATCAATAAATGTAACAGACGATGAGGCCATTCAGCATGAGATTCATGCTTAGATCTTGGCAACCACAATACATTAAAAGTACATTGCAATTTATGGGTTTGTATATATGAGCTGGGTGAGCTGAGTGAGGGTAATGAGGTAATGATTAGTGATGGTGTTAGGGTTTAGCTCCTAAAGACAAAGGCCTCATAATTCATTTTTTAAACCATGTCTTCTAGCACAGTTATTAAGGTACAATGATTGTTAAAATGTTTATGGAGTGTATGAAAACATGAATGAGCCTATGAGTAGAAGAGTAATTTTGAGCTAAACATAAAAATGTTGTGAGAGGGACTAGTGTTATGTCATAGTGCCACATGCAAAGCTGGCATCCTATATGGGAACTGATTCCAGTCTCGGCTGCTCCACTTACAAACCAGGTCCCTGCTTAAGTGCCTGGGAAGGCAGCAGAAGATGGCCCAAGTCCTTGTTGCCCTGCACTCACATGGGAGAAGCTTCTGGCTCTTGGCTTCACTTTGGCTCAGCCCTGGGTATTTCAGCCATTTATGAGTGAATCAGTGAATAGGAAACCTCTCTGTTTCGCTGTGTTTTTCTTTGTCTGTCTGTGAGATAATTAAATCTTTAAAAACAGTTTTGTGAGAGAAGGAATAAATGTCTTTATTAGTGACTATATCAAAAATATGCAGTATTTACTCCATGTTTGACATTATTCTAGGTATTTTATATGTATTACCTCATGCAATTCTCATCCAGTTGTTTTACATGTGTATATTTATGTTTCCTCTTAACTGAAAATTTAAGTACATTAACCATAACCACAAATCTAATTAAATTTCATTCTGGAATTTGAACCCAGGCAGCCTGATCCAGAGTCCATGTCCTTAACCCCTATATTATATCAAGTCTGGCATTTAAGACCATTGTAAAAGAGAGGTAACTATTTTAATATGCTGAGGCTTGGGAAAGAACATTAATGTGAGGTAACACTAGTGGAATTCAGTATTTTCCACTATTTTTGGTAGTTTTCTTAGACAAATTTTAGGTTACCATCCTGACTAATATCTGACAAATTATGCTTACTTTATTATTCTGTTTGTCTTTTAAAATTTCTTTGTAGTTTATGATTTTGCATATCAAAATGATTTCAGACAAGGGTTAGGATCAAGAGTAAAGTTAAATATTTCACCTCAAGAGAAGTAAACTTATATATGTCATCTTTGAACTCTAGCTTCTAGCACAGAGGGAATATCAACCATGAGAGATATCAAAATGAAAGACTTTGCTTATCACGCTCTGCTGAAAATATCAGGAGAGAGACATGAATTGGGATGACTTTGACCTAGGCTGGAATGCCTTCTATCAGTGCTGAGGAGTAGAGATTATATATCCTTGACCATTACTTTGACATACCAAGTCTACAATCTCATGGATTGTTCTACGGTAAAGGTCTCTAACAAGATGATTACATATGCGTGCCAAATGAGCAGAAATCAATGATGCTGTTATTAAAATGATGCAGAGAGAATTGTCCAATGCCATTATCTTTAGACTGCATGATTTAACACAAGGGATTTTGAAGCTACGTTCCTATTATAGTGTTCCTTTCAACAAAGACAAATTAAAACCATAGCTGCAGCTCCCACTGGTGAGCGCAAGAAGCAGGGAAGGGGTGAACAAGGTTGGACAAAGCGGCAGCGCACTTATGCATACATGGAGGCCAGGTCTGGAGTGGGTCAGGCCACAGCACTTAAGACACAGCACCCATGTTCATGAGAGCCAAGTGGGATGCGGATAGACTGGGCTTGCCCGTTGCTTATACTGGCACATGCCAAACCAGGACTGGGGTCCAGGCTGGTGGGGGTTCTTTGAGGTCACCCCAATTAAGCTGTAACAACTGCTGGTGTGTGTGAGAACTGGGCCTATGGTGGGCTAGGCTGTGCTAGATCATAGCACCCATAAGTTATTCTGAGATATGGGACTGGGGCAGAACTGACCAGGCAGTTGCATCCAATGGTATGCATATCGGCTGATACAGGTGACAGACTGAACCTGACCCTGCACTAGTTAGTGTACACAAATGTTAAGTCTAAGATCACACCAGGAAAGGTTTATTGGGGAGAGTCCTCAACTAGAATGATGGACTCAAATATCAACCAAAGGACAAATCACATTATATGTGGTCTAGCCTTGGATGCATGTATTTTGACTGAGTCTCCTCAGTTGCTGATAGCTGAGCAGTGGACAGTATGCCCAGGTGCACACAGGAGACATGGCAGCAAGCTCACCTATGCCAACAGATGATACTGAATGCCTCATCAGAGTCTAGAAGGTAGAACAGGTTAGATATTTCTCCTGGCCAAGCTTTGCAGCAAGTATCAGAGTCTGCGGAAGCATTAAGGTGAACTTAATCACGCTACAGACTTTGGAGTTTCTCAACCATGGTGCAATAAAACCAACAGTATCTCAGAACTAAGAAAACCACTGAAATAATGCCCTCAGGACATCCTTCCCCACATCGGGGGCTCTAAGGTGTCATCAAATGACTGTTCCCTTTACCCATTGGACACAGAAGAGAAAAAAAAAAGAAATGCATTTAGTCCACCCACCTTCCGCCATAACTTAGCGCTCCCCATCCTGTTCAGGGACCCACCTGGGCGTACATCTTCTCAACCATATAAATAACACTAAAAATTAAAAAAAAATTAAAAATCACATTGAAAATTGAATCAAGAAAATCACATTTTATATACTCAGCTGCACATCTCCACTGACATAAGTACAACAGACAAGTTGAGGCTTTAAGTGGATCTTTCCTGATAGTTTTTTGAAATAGATATATTCTTCGGCAATTTAATACTTTCTCTTTTTTAAGACTTATTTGTTTTTTATTGGAAAGTCAGATATACAGAGACAAGGAGAGACAGAGAGGAAAATCTTCCATCCGATGGTTCACTCCCCAAGCAACCGCAACGGCTGGAGCTGAACCAATTCAAAGCCAGGAGCCAGGAGCCTCTTCCGGGTCTCCCACGCAGGTGCAGGGTCCCAAGGATTTGGGCCATCCTCAGCTGCCTTCCCAGGCCACAAGCGGGGAGCTGGATGGGAAGCAGGGCAATTGGATTAGAACTGGTGCCCATATGGGATCCCAGCATGTTCAAGGCGAGGGCCTTAACCATTATGTTATTGCACCAAGCCCAATACTTTCTTTTAAACACATGGAGATAAGTGAATTGCAGGTCCTTTGGGTTATCATATAGTGTCGATGTTGGTCTAGTCTACTATTTTCACCTATAGATGTTTTCACCTATTTTCTACTTTAAGTGATTTGATTATTCTGACAGAATAACCTGTGCTTCATTTTGACCAAGCAACAGTAACAAAACTGTCAGACAATACACTTGGGTGGAGGTCTAAGAACTTGCTATGGTTTTGCTCTTGAAGAAAAGGCACTAGACTTATAATAATACTCTAATAACTTGGCAGAGTGTACCTCTGTAACAGTCTCTGACACGAAGGTAATCATCAGACAGATGCAGCATTGTTCAGCACCATTCATACAGTACTTGTTCTGTACCAGGCCCTGTGCTGACCCTGGGGACATAGAGATAGTGAAGTCTGAGTCCTGGACCAATTTACAGCATCATCTTTGGCTTTTAAAATAGTGTCTGACAGCTTCAGGAGCCAATGGGCAGCTGATTTGTGGCAGTGAAAGGTAAAGGTTTTGTTTTCTCTGAGGAGGAAGGCATCATCAGGATGCAATGATTCAATTGCTTGACATTTTTCTTTTTCCTTTCCACTAGGGAACAATAGTTTTCCACGCAGAAATCACATGGGTTGGCAGTTTGCATTGAGGGTGATTAAGGATTTTCTTAGGCAACGTGGAACTGACAGCAGCTATAAATAAGGGTTTAACTATTCAGAATTAATTTAGCCATAGTTTATGTATTACTACAAATGTTAGTAATGTCAGTTCTAAATGTATCATTGACTTGGTAATGGAAATACCCTATTGAATTTTCTGTCTGTTCTCTAACAAAGCCAAATTGTTCCCTCCTGCATTTTTAATTGTTTAAATCAATCAGTCATGTTCTTAAAGACTTAAGAACTTAATGTTAAGGACTCACACAGGGAAAATGTTTACATGTATTACTCAGGCTTGCTTTCCTTACAGGAGAGTTATAATCCTACCATTTTCTGAATTATTTGTTTTTTAAAAAGAAAAACAATGAAATGAGAGCATAAATTTTAAGGTACAATTTCATGTATTATACTAATATACTAATATATGCTCTATTTGAACAAAATGATCACAATTTGATATTCAGTATCACCCAGTTTTGTTCCATTTTAATATTGCAAACATTTTCATTACATGTACCTTAAGATTTCTCCAAAATGTTCCTGAGGAAATTAAAGAACAATTGACTCATTCAGCAAGGGTGGTACTTCGTCTCTAGTATCAACAGCACTGGATAATTCTAGCTTTTTTCATGTTTCTGCTGTGAAATCGAGTACCCTATATTATTACCAATAAGCATAATTCTATTTGTAAGCTCTTGTCACTGAATAATCTGCTCATTCTTTCTCCAGACAGTCTCTCTAACTTTCCTTTCCTATCTTACCCCCTCCCTCATCCCCTTATTTGAAAGGTGGTTCCCTGCATGTTTCCCCTCCCCAAACTGTCAACAACTAAATAAATAGGAAAGTAATGATTGCAGTGGGGTTAGAAAAATGGAGGTCTTTAAATAAAGGATGCTATCCAGTACCTCAATCATGTGACATAAATCTAACTGATTTTTCAAACTCTTTGAGAGCAGAGGACTTTGTGATTATTCTTTACTTATTTCAGTCTTCTGTGTGGGACTTCAGTATTATTTCAAAGTCTCTTAGGTGAAGTAATTTGGAGATTAACTTGGGAAAGACTATGACTCATAGCAGACATAGAAGAAGCCAGGCAAGGGTAATGCTGATTTACTCGGGTCCTGCTCCCAATTTGGACACCATTCTCATTGACATCAGTAGTTTAAAGCCGTTACTGCTGGTTCCTGTTCACTGCTTGAACTATGACTAAGGCACAGGAAGTACTTTTCTTTCTTGAGTGGAGAATTAGGAGCATTATATTCTCACATTCAGACTCAGGACTATAAGATTTTTAGTGCACTTCTATTTATGTTTATTCTCATACTGATATTCCTGGAAGAGATATATGGAGTGGGCAGAATTTATTGAAATGAAATTAAAACCCATGTGAGTATTGTGAGAAAGAGCCAGAAAATCAGGAAAGCTGAACAGAAGGGAAGGATAAAAAATGTGAAATTCTTTAGAAAGAAAAGTGGTACAGTTCATCCACAGTATAATTAGATGGCAAATAAGAATCTCAAATACTGGGGCAGAAATCCTGCAGTCTTTGTTATTTTTCTGTTTTCTTTCCCCTGGATTCTGTTGGAACATAGATTTTTTTTTCTCCCATCCCGAGTTTGTCATAACCGTTTAGGTATCAGACAGGGTGGCATATGTTGATTGTCTACTGTCCATGGCAGCAACATGCTTAAGAACAGAGCTGGCTTAGATTGCTAGATCAATGTTCTTTTCTGCTGTTGCTGCTGGACACAGTGTTTTCAAAAATGATCTTCATTATTTTTAATTGCTGATGAGCAATTTTCTCTGTACTTTGTACATTCTGTCGGACAATTTGATTTGGA